TGTTATTGACCACGCAACAGTAATTATGTGCCAGATCTCACTTGAATGTCATCGTGAAAATGCCGTTTGCATTCTTGATTTTCACTGAGAACAAACAAACTACTATAAAAGTGTCATATGTGTCCATAATCCCGCTGAATTTACTTCAGGGATATTTGGTCTTCATCACAGTCCATATCTGCATATCTTCATTAAGTAGCAGATGCTCATGAATTTAAAGGAGGCATCGTTGTTTGACATTTAAACCGATAGCACATTAAATCACGTAACGCCGCGCCGATAGGCTGCTCCTATACGTAAGGATGTGGAACCGGACCTGGTCCGGTAACTTATGGGGTCAGCTCTGTCCGCCATTCTCAATGGTATCATTCTGCGACCACAACCTCACAAGCGCTTGACTTCTGTAAATCCACTGGAAGGATGAAGGTTGGGGAGGCGTCGGTAGTAGTTAACAATGGTTGAATCCAAAACGAAGAGTCAAACAATTATTCGAGAGATCGAAGCTAAGCGGAAACCAGGAAAATAGGCGCAGGCTAACTCGTCGGCGTGTACAACATTTACGACACGGTAAATTATCGAGATCTTTGTCGGCCAGGCATAATGCAAAAACGATATCGACAGGTGCGTTTCTCAACTCCTAAATCATGAAAACGAGGAAGGTCAAGGTGGACGTCATTGGAATATCTGAGACATGAAGATCTACCGAACTTGCGCAACGGAACAAGAATGAACAAGCCTTCCTCATGAAGGCCTTTGAGACCTGAGGTTGGGTTCATGATAATAAAACAGTCTGTCTCATATGTGATATGGTGTGACATCACATCATCTCCAGTAACAAAAAAAGAACAATAAAAGTACTCCAATCTCACGGCCGAACCCAGCCATCTGCAGATGAACAGATGGACCAGTTCCACGAAGGTTCAGAATGGCTTCACTGAGGAAACTTTACATACACGATTATTCACAGGGACTTCAATATTGTCGTCCAGTAAAGAAAGAAATGAACGTGGAGATTACTTCATAATTTTCGCTAAAAACAACCAAGTTCACTTCATCATCACCGTTTACCATAAAGCGACAAAAAATGTTGAGAAACCCAGGCAGAAGGCCTTTGAAATAAATTTCTCTAACTACTGATTGACAAAAAACGAATATGGCATCAGGCGTGTCTGTCAGGATCAGATGACAGGCTCTTAAGCTCCACAATTACGATCGATGTCGCCCAAGAATAACGTATCATCAGAGCCTGAAGATCAGCTCTTTGCGGAGAACTACGACTCGATTCAGAGGCTTTCGCGGAGAAACTGCCTTCAACGAACCTTGAACCTCTCGACAACATGGACGGGGATTATAACCAATTGATTTGTCAATGCGAAGTGGCGTTAGAAAAACAGCTGGACAGCAAAACCAAAGAGAAATCATGAAGTCAGCCCTCCAACAGGGCAACTAATGGCTAAAACAGCCCAACTAAGCCTGAGGGGAAATAACCAGTGTACACTGCATCGCGCAAAAAAATACGAAAGAAGTTGAGAGAGGCTATGAAGGTTACAGAATACATCAAAGGGAGGTCACAGTGAGGAAAGAAAGCCTGAAAACTGTGTAGCAGAGTTTTCATCTAAAACACCTGATTACGAGTGCGCTGAATGGCAAAAGACGATCAGGAGCTATTAGCTGTAATCAAACGAATGTGATATGCACAAAGCTCTACAATAACTTGCACTATCAAGTCACTTCGGACGAAATTGAAGGGACGATCAGAAACATAAAAAATGGCAAATGTTCAGGCAAAGACGAAATAAGACCAGAACAAGTTAGGGCAGGAGAAACAATCCGGTTTGAAGCACCTTCCAAATGTGCTAATAAATACTTCAAGGAGAGCAAAGTGCCTAAGGAAATCAGGAACGATTTTTCTCATGAAGAAAGACTATTCCAAGGACCCCAAGAACTGTCGACCATATATACTCCTGTGGCAAATCTGCGGTGTTCGCCTGCCTCATTCTTAACCGTATTCCGAGGGCCTCGAACTTCTCACAAATCGGAGACACTGTGGTCATCGTACAGAAATTTCTATCATCCATTATTTGCATATTGTCTAACAGCTGATGGAGAAATGCATTGAATATAAAACGCCATTCTCTTTTGCATTCATCGACGTTCGATTCTATAGATTTGACGGTTCCTCCAAACGCCTGAAAATGGCATGGCATTAATTCTGACTGCTTCAGCTTGATCGAGGAGTGGAACATCGGCTACACAATTGATATTGAGCTGTTCAAGACACCGTGTTCATTATTATCGATCGAGGAATGCTCCAAAGAAATATTCTTTCACCAGCACTTTTCGCTAGTCTTTGGAGTCCTTCTTCAATCGGCTAAGCTGTTGCAACGACATCAGCATTCATAGAGAGCAGCTAAAACACTCCTTATTTGTGGGTAACCACACTTTCTTCGCATAAGACATGATGGAGTTCCAGCAGAAGATCCAGAAGTTGAATCTCTCATGATCAGTCTCCAGGTGAACTTCTCCAAGACACAATGAATACAAATTGACCACAGTTCTGAGGGTTTCCTCCACTTGAACGGAGAAGAACTCAAAAAAGTCATCACCTGTGCTCATCTCGGCTGAAAAGTGGACTGCATAAACTGAAGCTCTCTAGGCGAGGAAATTATGGGTTGAAACTTAAGCGAGACCTATCCAACTCATGCAAAGTTGTGTCATTTGTCCTGGTTGAGATTATCGCAACGCTGGATAATCAATGCCTCTTTGATGCGGCTGTTCAGCCAGTTTTTTTCCGACCACCGGGGGAGGAAACCCTTCCCTGCTGGGTGTTGCATAATCCTAGAGATCATGTAGCATTGTTCCTTGACCTGCTTAGGGGCTAGGTCACGTTTTCTTCCTAGATGCCTTGTTACCGTACGTCACTCACGCTTGTTCGCGATAATCCTTCTTCTGCAGTTTGACAAGTCGGTCTTTTCTGTTTGAGTGATGGCGTTCCTTGTGCCTGCCATGTGCTACTTTCCGCAGTAACACAATAATTTATAAACTAGCCTAGAGAGTTGTTATTCTCAGAATTGGTTAATGACGCGTTAAGTTTATTAGAGTTTTTAAATCTGACGTTGACACTCCGCTTAGTATTAAGTAGCCATTATAATTTTTTACTGAAATTTTTGGGACAAGGTGGAATTTCAGAATTTATGATAAGGTCTGTTATTCAACATGCCATTTTGGGCATCATTAATCTTACAAGTAAATTTTAAGTTAAGTTGGGTATCACATTGTGAATTTTTTGTGACTGAGAAAATTTAAAATTTCAACAGAGCGTTTCAACAAGGCAAATTTAAGTCTTGCTGTTCATTACAGTGATAAATTACGTCCTCCATTGAAAGGAAAGCTGAGGGTAGGCACAAAAGTAGGCTCTAATTTTATGCAAGATTGGAAAAAGTTCGATCACCCCAGTTACGACAGATGACAGTTATATTTATTTTTATTTTTATTCTTCAAGTATCCTTGCATTGAATTGTTCATCGTCTTGCCCATAAGTCGTAATTCTGTTTTTAGACGGTAAATGACACAGGAAGGCGGTTGCATCGTGATTTCTTCGAAATCAATACGGATAGTGGGCAACAATTTTTTCATTCAGGTTTGCATTTGAAATTTCCTTTTCCTAGAGAGATGTCTGTTAAGAGCATAAAAACTATGTCCATTGCGGTTACCACTGCGTCATTAAGCAATATTATAAGATTCAACACTACCGCACTGGATTCATAATCGGCCTAACGACTTACGGTAGGTCAAGGCCGCTAATTTCACCTTAATTCTTACTACTGTGTAAATTGCAAACTTGTACCTTGATTTTCAGTATCTGATTCTGGGCTCGACAGTGAAATTAAAAATGCGATGCCGATTGATGCTTGAATGCATCTAACCACACAGATGGTGACAATATTGTAGTACCGAAAAGTGTCGCTCAGCACCTTGAACCATAAGTCAGCAGTGTATTTGTAATACGAGAAGATTTGTAATTCAAAAAAATTTTTAACCGGACACATTCTGAGGTAAAGGGTTTCTTCTAGACTCCAGTTGTTCTCTGCCAAAGCTCAGGTGCTGGCACAAGACTGGGGACATTGGAAGGATAAACGGTCATAGAAAGTGAAGTAAAGTAATGCAATTTTGAAGTGTCTCTTGCTCAGTGTATATTTATCATCTCTTTAGCCCATTTTGATCTAGCAGTGTACGATGTTCTCTAAGATTCATTTATTGTATCTATACTTTGTTCGAACTGATGATCTCTATAGGATAGAACAGATTTGAGCCTTTAAGCTGTATGATTATATCATACGTCACGTGGCTTCGTTCATTACGCCGAATATAGCAGTTTGCCTATAGTTCTGTCTACACATGCTCTGTAAAATCTCACCACAAATATGGGATATCTACCGCAAACGACAACTTTTCCAATAGGTTGGAAAGTTTCGGCTCTGA